GACAAAAAAAGCATAGGGATGTTATTCGTAACATCCGTATAACATTATTCGTAACATTCGTTATTACTCGTAACTCGTAACATTTTGTCCTTTTCCTTTCTTCATCCTTACTATATTGGCTCACCATCCGAGTTCAAAGATGTTATAAATTCTTATAAAGTTATACTTTTTGTTTTTAGACATAACCTGGGATTCGAACCCGCACTATCGCCCTGCATATATCCCCCGATACACTTCGCATAATGATACATACTAATTCTTCCAAGTTGCTTCACGTTATGATCTTGTATTTGAAAGCCCTATTTGAATATGCATTGTGGCCAGCCGTCTTTGATTGTACGGTACGGTACGGTACAGGTACGGTCGAGGGTAATACGACACCATCTACCGCCTTGATGACGGCAAAAAAAAAATAGGGATGTTATAAATTTTTCAATTCTCCTATTTTTTCAGGCATTACCTGGGATTCGAACCCGCACTATCGCCCTACATGCATTCCCCCATACACTTCGCATTCATACTCATTCTTCCAAGTTGCTTCACGTTATGATCTTGCGTTTGAAAGCCCTATTTGAATAGTGCGGCCAGCTGTATGTGGCCAGCTGTGTTTGATGGTACGGGACAGATACGGGATAGCGCCAGGCGTGACACAAACACACAAACAAACAAACACCAAATTAAAGCTGTGTGGACCCTGGCTAGCGCCAGACGTTACTGAAGTAACGTCTTCTGCATAGCTACGGGAATAATTTGTACATCACAGCTACGGTAGTCGAAGCAGAACAACGGACGATAGATCGATGTGTCTTGAACCTGACGAACTCTCACCGTGTCTACAAAACAAGCGCGGGAAAGCATACCAACTTCATCATACTTCTGCCAAAGAATGACGCAATAAAAAAATTCCGCCGTGGGTGAACCCATCTCAGCTCAAAATAGGAGTTGCACACTCTTGGTTATGTACTCTTGCCGTAGGGTACCGCTCGGCCACAGCACCCCTTCGCCGGTTCCCCTCTGCGGTCGTAATATTTGGAGGTGGGGCGTGTGACCGACCCCTGTCTGTAGAGCATGCAACATGTGCATTTTACATACAACACGTGCATTGTGCAAACGCAGTCGATCTGTACTTTCTTCCCCCTTTGAGGTGGCAGTGAGATGCACACGGGGCAGTGAGCTAGTAAAGGGCCAGGCATGATCCCAGTACACTCAAGGACCTTGCATCGTTTGACCTATGAGTAAGTTGTTGCGCTCGGCCATACGGCTTTCTTTTTTCCCTTGGTGTACGGCAAATCAAGTTGGGGCGCTCTCGCGGTACTCACCGATACTCGTGAATCTCATGGCAGCGGTTAGATTAAACCTAGCAGTAGGAATACGTGAGTAACCCTGGACTTGCGAGAATGAAGTTGAAGACTCTACTGCAGCTGTACTCATGGTTGATTCATATGATAGTACATACACACCTGGCAATATGACGGTAAATACACGCCTGGCAATATGACGGTAAATACACACCTGGCAAAATGACGGTAAATACACACCTGGCAATATGACGGTAAATACACACCTGGCAATATGATGGTAAATACACGCCTATCCACACACGCTCTCTAAGCTGCAAAGTTACTCTGACACAGAGCTCTTCTTCTCACCACCACCACCATCAGTTCACGCATGACGCCTAGTCTATGGTTTTAGACTATTTAAAGGGAGAACAGGGTTGCTGCGTATGGTGCCAGCGACCCACTACAGTAAATCCTGTAACTAAAGACCACCGTGACTAGCGAACAGCCTGGTACTACAGACCACTTCGCCAGGCACGGACGGTCTCCCATTCGTATATGGTTGTGCGGTGGAAACCTCTAACTAAGGATCACCTGCCACTAAAGACCGCTTTCTCTGGCCCCAAGGGGGGGGGGGGGTCGTTAGTCACAGGTTTTACTATATTTACGTTCCAATCACCGGCACCATCGCTCTTGGTGCTCGTACAGGTGCAGCTTGCTATTCTGCATGCTCCAGCTCCTATTCGCTGTGTCATTGTCGATCAGTACTGCTGCTGGCTCAAAGTCACTACTGCAGTGACCATGGTCACTCTCACAGGCACTCGCACGGCAGGTGTTGTTCGATGCAGCCTCTGATTCTGATAACGCTTTACTTTCCCTTCTTTTCACTCGGCTGTGTACTTTGTACTGTGCAGGGTGGACCTGGTGGCTCTTCAACCGGCTTTGGTAACTTCCTGGAGCTTGGTCCCCTGGATGCTGACTTGCAACCACGTACAACATCTTGGGTAAGTTTTAACGAGAGAGCTTGGAAGCTCAGGGCCCTACGCTATGCTTTTTTGCCTTGATGACCTAGACAAAAAAAAAGCATAGGGATGTTATAAATTCTTTAAAAAAATCCTTTTTTTAACGTAGGATTCGAACCCGCACTATCGCGCGCCCTGCATGCATCCCCCTATACACTTCGCATACATACTAATTCTTCCAAGTTGTTTCACATTGTGATCTTGCATTTGAAAGCCCTATTTGAATATGCATTGTGGCCAGCCGTCTTTGATGGCACGGTACGTTAGGGGATAGGTACGGGACAGGTACGGTCGAGGGTAATACGACACCGTCTAGCTGCCCGCAATATTCAAATAGGGCTTTCAAACGCAAGCTAATAACGTGAAGCAACTTGGAAGAATGGGTATGAATGCGAAGTGTATGGGGGAATGCATGTAGGGCGATAGTGTGGGTTCGAATCCCAGGATATGCCTGAAAAAAAATCCTATGCCGTCAGATACGGATAGCGCCAGGCTTGACACAAACACACAAACAAATACCAAATTAAAGCTGTGTGGACCCTGGCTAGCGCCAGACGTTACTGAAGTAACGTCTTCTGCATAGCTACGGGAATAAATACGTTTGCAAGTACAATTAGCCTTGTGAATAATGACCCTCGATTATGCATGAGAAAAGTGTCGTTATTCGCGAGTTGTCGTTATTCGTGATGTTGAAAGTGTGTACTGAAAGTCAACTAATAATCGGCGCATCTTTATTTGCAGCTATTTTCGGCCTGGGAATTTTTGGCTGAAAATTTGTTGCGGTCGAAATTTTGTTTTGGAAGGTTCAATGTGACAGTATATACAGGCAGCAGCAGTACAGGCTGAAATTGAAATGCAGCCGAAATGTGTTTTTGCCCTGGGAGGCCGAAATTTCAACATGTGGAAAATCTGTAGACTTACAGTAGTCAAATGGTCACTAGGTCATTGTTATACTAGTACCCGTGGTTGTTATACCCGGGGTTGTTATACCCGGGGTTGTTATACCCGGGGTTGTTATACCCGGGGTTGTTATACCCGGGGTTGTTATTCCCGAGGTTGACTGCACACGCAATGGAATGGACTTTTCCCTACTACTGTATAAGCAGATATATTTGTCTGGAATTTGATTTCGACTTTTTCGTCCAAGGAGCTTTTGGACTGAATTAAATGCCGGACTAATGTCGATTTGTCCAGCTTTTCAATACACTCCTATGATCCATGGACGAAATTTACAACCGGACGAACTCCCTTTCATTGGAGTTGGACTAAATTATTCACCGACGGAATTTTCTGCCTGTACAGTACAATGTCATGTTTCCCGCTACGCCACATCAGAACCAAATGTGTTTTGGGCAGACTACCACAGCTCACATTTGTACTGCTATTCACTCTTATCTTCAAAAAAACTTTTTTAATATTCTTCTATTCTTCGGTCTTAAAACATCATCAAGTTTTGTTTTTCTACTTGTCTGTACACTTGCACGCGCGCGCACACACACACACACACACACACACACACACACACACACACACACACACACACGTGCTTATTGGCAGTCTCTGTGTGTTTGGCTGGTGTGCTGCAGACATCCCGTGCCAACGTTTTGTTTGTTGATAATCCTGTGGGAACAGGTTTCAGCTATGTCGATCACCTGTCATTGCTGACTAAGACTGACTTGGAGATCGCTACTGATCTAGTCACTCTCACTGAGCATTTCTTCAAGGCCAACCCGGACTTTGCGGTGAGTTTTGCTTGCTGGATTCTAGATGGTATGTTCAGTGCTGGTGTGGTGTTTGGGCTTGTGAATGGGTGGCTGTGTGTGGAGGCCCTGGAGGGTCCTCTTGAGAAACTATTCCTACACTGCTGCCATTTCCATTGGAAGTTCCGCGGAAAGAAATTAGAAGTACATGTCCAGTACTTTACTTGTCTTTCCGTGCTGTCCTCCATTGTCTGTGAGGTGTATCTGCTCAGGGTTCTGTGCTAGTACTACGTAACGTTATGCCAACAGTACGCGGACCAGAGTGTGTAACTCCACGTATTCTGATATGTGTATAATGTCTGTCAATTGTGCTACTGTGCAGAAAACTCCCTTCTACGTCTTCTGCGAGTCGTACGGTGGCAAGATGACGTCAGTGTTTGGACAGGAGCTGCAGAAGGTGGGTAATTCTGATACAGTGGTTCTATCCTAACTACTACTAGTAAATACAGTCATGTAGACCGTGGACACAAGGTCATACCAAGAGTGCATAACCCCCCAAGAGTGTGCAACTCGACTATGGGTGCTGTCCCGGCAGAATTTCAAGTTGATGTCATTTTTATGATGCAATGCGCACTGTACATGGATTATCAGACGAATCCGGAACCTGTGGTGGACCAAAGCCTATCTGGTCCTGTACAAATTATTGCAAAGAAAAACGTGTGATGCGTTGACACCCGTACACATGTTGTAAATCACCGGTGCAAGGAGCATTGCATCATAAATAATGACGTCAACTTGAAATTCTGTTGGGACAGCAGGGTATCTGGGGGTTGCACACTCTTGGGGGAGGGGGGTTATGTACTCTTGGTCATACTAATGTTGGCAGCTGTACTGTATTATCCGGTGTGTGATGCTGTTTTCCGGCTACATTTCATGTAGTGAAATCCATCATTGCACAAGCATGAGGCTTCTACATGTTGTCAGTTCAGAGTGATAGACAAGCTAGGAAACTTTTACTAGAATTTCAGTCGTGCTTTTAGTCGTGCTGCTCAACTTTTCAACCATTGGTAACGTCTTGTATGTACTGGTATTCATTAGTTACGGGGCCAAAAAAATCGTGCGGCTTATACTCCGAATGTGTGTGTGCGCGTGTGTGTGTGTTTGTGCACGCGCATGTCTTTGTGTGTCACAGGCTATTCTGGCTGGTCGTCTAGACATTAACTTTCACGGTGTTGCTCTTGGCGATGGCTGGGTATCTCCCATCGGTGAGTTTTGCTGAACGTTCCGCAATTACTTGCGGGGTGTATAACATAATATGTATGTGAGTGTACAGGTACATGTCGCTTATCCGGTGGTCAGTCATCCAGCACGTTGGTTATCCAGCAACTCACTGACGGCTCATACACTGTATATCCACAGTCCTACTTCAAGTAAATGTGGGCAGTGAGCACACTGAACTTTGCCTTTAAACACCTTTCCATACAAGTCAGTCTATACTCTATAGATGATCCCAACGACTGTCTGAGGATAATACTAGTAACAGAGCATCAAACACACAGGCAAAATCATGCTCTACAGTCCTGTTGATGTGTGAACACAGAAGAGAAGGCTATAGCGTTATGTCCATGTAGCTTCAGTTATGCAGTTATCCAACAGAGTGCAGTCCCGGGGTGCCGGGAAACTGACATTCAGCTGTACTAGTATTGTGGAGTTGCTGGAACTCCCTGTCATAACATGTACATTGTATAGCCTGTAATCACACATGCTGTAGAAGATACCCACATGCTATGTACTCTTGCCATACCTGTCATTCCAACTACACAACCAGCATTTGCAACACCCTCTGCCGAAAAGCTTCATTAAATCGTAGCTCTGCTGAAGGCTGTTGGCTTCTTCTTTTTACGTCCACGCCGTCACGTTTATGTTCTATTGGTTTACTCTGTGTGTAGATTCCATGGCTGCCTGGGTTCCCTATCTCTACACATTGGTAAGCCTGGCAACTATCTCATCGTAACAGCATGATGTGTGTGTGGATGTGTGTGTGGATGTGTGTGTGGATGTGTGTGTGGATGTGTGTGTGGATGTGTGTGTGCATGAGCGTACTGGTGTATATGTGCCTGTGTGGATGTGTGACAGACACACATGAAGATTTTCAAATGAGCCCATCATGGCAGCTTGAATGAGACTGTCAGACACTCGGGTGTGTGCGTGCGTGTGTGTGTATGTGTGTGCGTGCGTGTGCGTGCGTGTGTGCGTGTGTGTGTGTGTGTGTGTGTGTGTGTGTGTGTGTGTGTGTGTGTGTGTGTGTGTGTGTGTGAGGCCTTACAGAAACTCCCACCAAGTACCAGGCAGACATGTCCAAAGAACAATGCAGTCATTGCTGCCTGATGGACCCTTAGATGTGGGCAGCTGAGAGTATCACCTGAGTAGTTTTCAGTCCTCATGTAATGTGTATGTGTTCTGTATTTGCGACTATCACCGGCATGCATAGTTCATATACCACTGTTGCTCAAAAGTGCATCGGACCAGTGCCAGGTCAGGCCACAAGACAATAATTGAAAATTGTCCAACATTCTCAGCTCTGACCACTGCTGTTTTTCCATGTCATATAGTACTGCTCAATGAAATCCAGTCGCGTCACCCAAGTACGCGCCGGGCGTTGCACAGCCGGAAGACCTGCGAACACTAGGCTGCGGAATGATGCAAGGCGCAAGCTTGAGCGACCCGACTGGATTTCATTGAGCAGCACTGTAGTAACATGGTGCATATTGCACTGGGGAGTATTCAATACTGCATAGTAATTTGGTTATCAACCATCACCTTTCATTGAAACTCTGCCAGTATTGAATGGCCCAATTACTGCTCATATGCTTCCTTGTATATTGAGCAGTTGATGAGTGATGCACCGTTTCCAATTTCCCGTTTCCTGGTGTTGCATGTTGGCCGTAGTCCCTGATCAACCCCGCTGGTGTGGAGAAGCTCAATGCTATTGTCAACCGGACACGTGTTGCCATGGCAAAGGATGAGTGGACCATGGCCACGTCACTCTGGTCAGAGATGGAAAATGTTGTGGGACAGGTGAGCCTTTCATAGTGTGTAGGTGTGTATGTGTATGTGTATGTCTGCATGTGTGTCTGTGTGTCTGTCTGTGTCTGTCTGTGTCTGTTATTGGTTTGTGTTTGTGTGTGTGTATGTGTGTGTGTGTCAAGAAGATTTTGACTACCTGCTATGTGTTTATTTATTTAGTTAGTTAGTTTATTCCAAGCAGTACATGGCTGGGGTAGCCAATGACCACTTTGCGTGGCGATTGCAGGGTTTTTATAGCCAACCACGGGTTTGGGAAAGGTTCAAAATCTCCCTGCAATGTTATGTGTTCAGCATTGTTGGAGCTCTCTCTCTCTCTCTCTCTCGCTCTCTCTCTCTCTCTCTCTCTCTCTCTCTCTCTCTCTCTCTCTCTCTCTTCCTGTCACACGTTACAATATGCTGGTGGATGGCTTTGTAGCGTTGTCCTGCTCCTTGCCATGTTGTATCTCAACGGCTGGGGTTGATGTGCCACTGTTGCCACTATTGCCAGTGACTAAATCATCAGATGAAGAGTATACATTGATCTAAACTTGCTCTCCCTGGGTTGCACGTGACACTAAGCACAGGTGTCAAGTTGAAGCAGTGCTGAAAGTATACTAGTACCCACTACTGTGTGGACTGCAAACACGGCTTGTGCAATCATTGCCTGAATCTGCGCTAGTTTGGCTGAAGTTTTCCCCTTGTCGAGTTTTGCTAATCATATTGCTTGTGATTAAAGGGGCACTCCGGGAATATTTTCGGTGGTGTGTTCTCTTCATGGGGGCCTTGTATGGCCCCAAGGAATGGGGAATCGCAAAAACTAGACCAAAAAAGTCGATATATGAAGCCAGGGAGGGCCAAGTTTGTCTCCTCTTTTGATGGTTTTGATGACGTCACGTGTGATTAGTATTCAAATTCTCTGCATTTGAAGATCTTAGTTGTTTGAATTTTCTGGTGATGAAGAATGATGTTTGCTCGACATTCCCAAGCTTCACAACTGCGGACCTACTCTAAGGAACCTGAAGGACCCCCTGAGGTGCCCCTGGTGGAAGCGCAGCCTGATGAGGGCCAGGAGATTGGAGCGGACGACTTCACTGGTCCACGTACGAGGATCCCGAAATTCTCTATACGCCGTGAGGCATATGGTCAGAACAGTTTTGTTTAGACAAGCTGACGCGAAGTCGGGGTGATGTGTAACGCACGTCAAAGGGCTGTCAATGCTAACAGCTGCAGCGCTCTCTCGACAGCGAAGGTAATCGACTGCCCTCTGCATCACCCCACATTTCTGGCAGGAACACCAATCGTTATTTCCTTGTCGACCAGTGAAGTCGTCCGCTCCAATTTCCTGGCCCTCATCAGGCTGCGCTTCTACCAGTGGCACCTCAGGGGGTCCTTCAGGTTCCTTAGAGTAGGTCCGCAGTTGTGAAGCTTGGGAATGTCGACCAAACATCATTCTTCATCACCAGAAAATTCAAACAACTAAGATCTTCAAATGCAGAGAATTTGAATACTAATCACACGTGACGTCATCAAAACCATCAAAAGAGGAGACAAACTTGGCCCTCCCTGGCTCCATATATCGACTTTTTGGGTCTAGTTTTCGCGATTCCCCATTCCTTGGGGGCCATATAAGGTTCCCATGAAGAGAACACACCACCGAAAATATTCCCGGAGTGCCCCTTTAAGCGTATGCCGCTTAGGCAGAGTATGCAGGGTCTGAGTTAGTGTACAGTCACATGTTGGAAAACTGGGCTTCTATCACATGCCACGTACGGCTGGATATCCTAATTGCGTTTTCGCACCCTGTCCAGCGCTGCATACCACGTCCCAGCAGTGCGCCTTGCATTATCACCTTTGTTAGAACTGTCTGTTACCACCTACCACCTCAGTTACCTAGGGCATGTCACACTGCTATGTAGAAAGTGCGATATTGCGCCAGTTTTGGCATATATAACATCGCCCATTTTCTACTGGTACTACCTCCATTGATGATCTCTGTTGGAGTAAATCAGCAGCCATTTGGAGAGTTTTCAATGTCAACATCTCAGAAGAATTGTCCTTGCTATGTCAGTGTGCAAGTGGAATGGGTTGGCTGAGAAGGAATGTGCAGTGGTGTTGTGACTGATATTGACATTGAATACGTAATGGCCGGGTTTGTGGCTTATTCCTCTTCTCTTTGTCAGTTGATCTGGAAGAATTGCTGTGCTAACCTGTTTTGCTATTTGTCTTGTGTTTACGTTCTGTGTCCTCGGCATGTTTTGTGGTATTCCTGCTGCTGCTGCTGCTGCTTGTTGGTGCTACTGCTGCTGCTGCTGCTGCTTGCTGTTTGTTGCTGCTTGTTATTGCTGCTTGTTGGTGCTGGTCTTGTTGTTGTGTGTTTGTAGCTTGCTGCTGATGTGGACTGGTACAATGTACTCAAACATACCGCTTTCGTCACCACCGACTTGAGCTCCCTTGCCCGTCAACAGCTACTCAAGGTTCCAAAGGAGCTGCGTAAGCTATGTTGATTGCATGCCAGTGTTGCAGTAATGGGCAGATATGATCTTAGTGTGAACGTGGCTATGGCTAGGTTTAGGGCAAGACTTGGCTAGGTGTGTTTGTCGAGTGCCGTTACTTTCTCTTCACTGCTCCTCAGATAGGGGCTGGCATTGAAACTGGCAGAGAGGGTGTTCACCTTCAGCAACTTGCTATGCTGCATGAGCACGAGGGAATGAATCCTGTCTGCATAAAGCCATGCTCTCAAATGTTTCATAATGTGCCCAGCCAGCAGCTTGGCTCCCACCCGCAATTGGGGCAGATGCAGGGCTATGGAGTTATGGCCGAAGTGACATTGTGCGGCACTGCACCCTGCTTCCTTCAAAAATTCAAAGCACCACTGCACAGTGCATGGCTTGACTGATCAACACACCTGCTTTCCTGCATGCAGGGTGCAGTATTTCCTGCATGTAGGCGCTTGAGAATAGGCCACTTCTGTGCTGGTCCTTTGCTGTAGGTCAGTGAAAATGCTGTCAGGCCTGCATTGCCACACTATATTCCATGTGCAGGGCAATGCATATCTGTAAGTGTGCACAAACTTTCTCAACTTGCTACAACCCTTAAATTAATATGCCACGGGATGCAACGAATTGCTCTAACCAACTTGGCCAACATCGGGAAACACGACTCATTGGCTCATATTTTGGTTATTTATTCTGACTAGCTTCTCTTACTCGTGCTGTTTTTCTTGTTTGGTCTGCATAGATGTATTGTACAAGAGACATGTTGCCAATATGCAGGCTGAGTCACTGAATCAACTTATGAACGGTGAAGTCAAGCGTCATCTAGGTCTCAATGTCACTTGGGGAGGTATGACTGAAACCATGTCTCTCTCTCTCTCTCTCTCTCTCTCTCTCTCTCTCTCTCTCTCTCTCTCTCTCTCTCTCTCTCTCTCTCTCTCTCTCTCTCTCTCTCTCTCTGTCTGTCTCCCTCTCTCTCTCTCTCCGTCTCTCTCTCTCTCTCCATCTCTCTCTCTCTCTCCCTCTCTTTCTCTCTCTTTATCCCTAGACTGTCGTGTGTTTGCACCACGTCTTGTTTTACTTGTACTTACTACCTCCGACAAGCAAAACTTGGCGCGTTTTTTGTACTTCAAATTATGGGAAATAACACACGCTTTACAATCAAACTAATGATTGACTCACCAAAATACAACTTTGTATTGCTCAACAAGGACATTAGAGACATCAGTTAGGCTGAATCACTCTCCTCTGATTCGGAGATCGCAGTTTCTTCTGGAGAGGAATTTCCCTGTTTTGAGACGAAAGTGCGACAAGAGCGGATTCAGTTGCAGCAAGTACCGTGGCTTTGTTGTGATCGCCCTGGAAATCTCGATGTCGCTCCTGTGTGCTGGGCTTGAGCCACGATATCAAGGTTAGTCATCTCCGCCGCCACTATCCAGGTTAACGTGGTAAGAACTGTGCAACACCTCCACCCTGGACTGCAACTCTTTTTGTCGGGTATTCTCGCCAACAGTCCGAAATAATAGCCTGCAGCAATTCCTGGCGATTTCCCTTAGCCAACAGAGACTCATCGCTCTGGAGGCTATTGAAAGACGCCAGGATTGTTTGGCATGGGCATATGGACTCTCTGTGCTGGCTGAGTGATCAAGTGGAGAGAGAGAGAGAGAGAACTCCTTGGTTTTGCATTGAAACGCGAAAGCACGACGATTCTCCTTTGCAGAATGACGCGCGCACTGTTGTGCTGGTACAAGAGAGACTGGCCTGCCTCTGACAGTCTGAGTCATGTGCCACTCACCAGCTCGTCACTTGGCTTCCTCCACCCGGTTGCATGGAGCTACAAGTAGGTCGTAGAACAAACCTCACAGCCTTGTGAAGTAGTTAGTTGTGGTACCAACACGAAAAAATCAAAAAAACGCGCCAAGTTTTGCTTGTCGGAGGTAGTATGACAACACATTTGATCTGTTTGTGTGTGTTTGTGTGCGTGTATGCGTGTGTGTGTGTGTGTGTGTGTGTGTGTGTGTGTGTGTGTGTGTGTCTTTTATAGCACAATCTGGTGATGTGTTCACTGCTCTACGTGGTGCATTCATGAAGAACTCCATTGCATCCGGTGAGTTGCTTTTCTCTCTGATTGCTAGTTTAGCCTAAACACTCAAACCATGGAGCGTGTGCATGTAACATAACAGCTCAATCCATGCCACGAACATAATCCCGTGAAACCAATCGGATCCCAAGAATTGTTAAAATCTGAGCAGTTTACAGGACGGTGGTCTATCTGAACTGCAGCAGCCATCTTTACTTGCATGTTCAAATATCAACTTCTGAATCCTATGTATGTCTTTCTGTGTGTATGCGTGCGTGTATGTGCGCATGTGTGTGTGTGTGTGTGTGTGTGTGTGTGTGTGTGTGTGTATGTGCGTGCGTGTGTGTGTGTGTGTACGCGCATACGCGCATGTTGTGTTTCACGATGTGTGTCGCACACGCAGTTGATTACTTGCTGGCTCAGAAGGTGCCTGTCACCATCTATCAAGGACAGCTTGATCTGATTGTTCCCACAATTGGTAAGGCATTGTAACCACTGCACACTGCTAGGTACTTACAGCTGTGTGTGCTGTATTCTTATGTGCCTCATTTCCTCTGTGCTGCACTGATGAGTGCACTAAGGACGAAACAGTTCTATCCGCAGATTGAGTAATTATGTGCTGTATATGTGCTGTGTGTGTGCTGTGTATGTGCTGTGTATGTGCTGTGTATATGCATTTAGTGTGAGTTTGTCTACAGTATGTGAGGCGCCGAAGAGCTGGGGGTCAGGGTTCCAGCCTAGCCCGTTCTTATTTTTAGCGAACACGGAAGTTTCGTTCTTATTCGATGACACGGTCTTACATGCAAGTCGAGCAGACGTGAAACCCAGCCAAATTATGCCACGGGCTCGTTCCTCGTACGGTATAACTCCTGATCTCCAGAAAAGTTGAAGTCAACAAAAGCTTCCACCTAGGGCCAAAGCAAGCGGAGTTGCACACTCTAGTCTATGTACCCTTGGTATCTTATGACAATCGGTGGAGTGGAGGCAGGGATAATTTCAGTTGAATCCTGGGATGAGTACCTTGATGCTGTCAATGCCGTCTCTCTCTCTCTCTCTCTCTCTCTCTCTCTCTCTCTCAGGAGGGGGTATTACATGATAAGTTTCTGGCAGTGAGCAAATACATGATGCATGTTTGTGTCTGTGTTTTCCTATTGATCTGTACCTGCTAGGTACTGAGACGTACATGAAGAAGCTGACCTGGCCGGGCATGGCTGAGTTCAACAAAGCTGTCAACAAGCCCATTCTGATCGAGGCTGAGTTTGGTCTCTTCCATCAGCAATATGAGCATTTCAACTTCTTTGCCGTTCTCAAGGCTGGACACATGGTGAGAGTCTCTCTGTACTTCTGCATAGCTGGTTGACAACTTCATGTCCGAGGAATTGTTTGAAAAGCACCTAACTCCTTGGACAAGCCATTGGACAATGAAGTGCCGAGGCTGTGTGGCCATGCCCAATTCAACATTAGAATGATCTTTTAAAAGAAAGGTCCTTTTCTGTGCCTTGTAGTGCCCAGGGGCCACTCCTGAAATCCTGACCCGGCTGTTCATGTTCCTGTGTAGGCTGTGCTAGTTGATACCATGGCCCAATGGCAGCAGCTATCTGAGGGCCCACGGAAACCATTTTTGGTTGGCCCGGCCAAACCCTAGCCTTTCATACTTACTGTGTACGATGTGGCGGGTATACTCGTACACATGACCTACTCAGCAGTGAAGAGACGTTGCTGGCCAAGCAGTTAGTGTGTCCATGGCCTGATCAACCGGACTGGTTCTGCCGGGCCTGTATCTAACTACTCCGTGCTGTTGAATACTTCTCAGCTGTTGCCTGCTAGTGATTCTGTACTGCTGCCGCTACCTCTTTCTCTCTCTCTCTTTCTCTCTCTCTCTCTCTCTCTCTCTCTCTCTCTCTCTCTCTCTCTCTCTCTCTCTTTCTCTCTCTCTTTCTCTCTCTCTCTCTCTCTCTCTCTCTCTCTCTCTCTCTCTATCTCTCTCTCTCTCTCTCTCTTTCTATCTCTCTCTCTCTCTCTCTCTCTCTCTCTCTCTCTCTCTCTCTATCTCTCTATCTCTCGCTCTCTCTCTCTATCTCTCTCTCTTTCTCTCTCTATCTCTCCTCTCTCTCTCTCTCTCTCTCTCTCTCTCTCTCTCTCTCTCTCTCTCTCTCTCTCTCTCTCTCTCTCTCTCTCTCTCTCTCTCTCGTCATGCTAATGAGCAACTGGGGAAATCCAACTCCTTACTGCTTTGGGGTTTGTGAATAGATGACTTGCACAAGGATTGTCTGGGTTCGAGACGGGGCAAGTGGACCTTCTGACTCTGCACTTCCCCACCTTTTGAGTTCGTGACTTTCGAAGTAATTAGTTTCGCTTTTTGCCTGACGAACACTGAGCTAGTTTTTTTGGCTAGAGAGTAGAGTTGTTTTGATTCGACTTGTATCGTCATGCCGAAGCGCTGCTGCGCTCCTGAATGAACTAGCAGACGAGAAATGGAACTGAGGCTCCCATTCCATACGTTCCTTTCCGAGCCGGCCGGGCGGGAGGCAGAAAAATGAGGGAATAACGTTATTATTTTAGTATCATTGGTGTAGGCTGCAACAAGCACGTCGTGGTCCTGAAGTGTGACTACTTTCCCGCAGTGGAAGCGAAGTGAAGCACAACGAAAGTTTGTGGACGTCTGAGAAAGAATTCGATTCCCTTTCAATCGGCTGCACTAGCTCCAGAGCGACCCTCTCCTGAGGACAGACTGCGGAGAGGCCAGGAAACTGCCGAGTGACGAGTGGAAGCCTAAACCATGAAAATGAAGGGTGGAAGGACTGAGTATGAGAGCCAGATGGCCTTTAGTAGTACTTCAAGTAGTATCTGAGTTGAAGGAGAGAACAAGTGTGCTGGAGAAACGCTGCGAAGTCCTCAGGCCTGATGTGTACTAGCTACTGTTGAAGTCTCACTTGTTCCGATATGAACATTTCATCAGCCCTTACTCTGAGCAGCTGTATCTAGACTTGGATCTAGGCCAGAGACATAGCATTGTAAACCTTACTGAAGCCATAATGTATCCGATGCCTGGCTCTAGTGAGAAAGCAGTTTGGCGCAGGCTCGCAAACTATGATTGAATCAGGGAGTGGTGGAAAGTCACATTATACCTCTTCATGATTAGCTGGTAATGACGACGATGCGGCTCCGGCTGGGTCTCATGGGAAAGTAACTTGCATACCTGTTTAGTTGCAACGAGGCAACGGTACCCCATGTACTAAAGACATGATTGAACTACATTTCATCTCCTCCTGGGAGAATGTGGAACAAATAATGCCAGAGTGTGTCTGATACACATCACAGTCTGCTGAGTATGTTCATTATTGTGGACGTAACATAACTGCGCTGTGAGGTACCTTCTGCGTTGGACCTACAGTTGAGCCACTACTCTTCTTACAAATTCTGTACAACGGTGAAAGGATTTGTTGGAGCATCATCAAACAGTGCATTCGCCTTCATCATACACTGGCTCCGTTGCCTACAGTAATTCACGTCTTGACGGGGCGCGCTGGGACGATACGGAAGGAGCGGCGGGAACCATTGGAGTGCTCATGATGCTGGTTAGCGGAGACGGATGTGAGTGTCAGGAACGGGAACGCAACCGCACTACTGTACAGATCAGGAAGCGATGGAAGAGTTGAATCTGTTCAACCTTCCATACCGTGTACAGGGACACAAGCGTAAAAATGGCTACATTTCGAATGTGAACTGGCGATGGCATTGTGTGGCGACGAACACAACTGCAACTGTTCAAATTTCAGCATTTCGAACATTATGCTTCCCACCGAATGGCTCACATGACGGAGTTGGACATTACCAGGCTAGGATTATCATTTGCTGTATTTATGGATAGTCCTTGAGTTTTCAGATGAAGTGCTTTATCTTTTACCTGTCGTTCCTTTAGTGTGGCACAATGTCCATGGCTGCTTTCTTGTCTTCATAACAGACTGGTATAATCAGCATGATTCTGCTTTATTAGAGAAGAAATAAAAATTTCCTTTCGGAAAGGAAGCCCAGAAACATCAACCCCCATGGGCTGTGCTGTATGACTCTCGTCCATCGACATTAACCGTCGCAATAACTGCTGCATGTATGTTGTGCTGTGCGAACCGTACAAGATTTTAACAGCTCACCCACGCCTTCCCAACAGGCTCCTATATCCCGTACCGATAGCGTTACATTGAATATGAACTAGGCTAGCACAGTTATCCTTCGTTCTTTTGATGGCGGCGGGTAGCATGGAACTTGACGTGTTCTTGGGATCCTCGTGCAACACTTGCTGTTCCCGGATGCCATATTATTGGGTGCATCGAGGTTGCTTCTATGCTCACTGTTGTTTAGTAAGACAAATTTTTTAATAACTATTTCACCGAAGAATATGGCAAGAGTATTTTGGGTTGGTTTGAACGCCTGGCTTCTCTTCACATAATATACAGTTATGTACTTCCACTAACCCTACAACTTAAAGTACAAATGCACATGACTCATGAGCTTCTGAAGACAGTGACGGTACTGACCAAGTACATGTACATCATGTACATGCCGTGCACCGTTCATTCATGCTGACAAAAAAAGTACACTACAGACGGTGTAGGGTGCCCGCAGTGTAGCCTGGGTGCACAGGGTGCACTTGCCCCGTCTCACTCGCGGCTCGGATCTTTGTGCAAGTCATCTATTGCGATGGGGAATATCGTAGAGTTTGTTACCTGCCACTTATACTTCTTGGGGCTGTGCGTGCGTGTGTGTGTGTGTGCATATATGTGTAACTACCTGACAGGTGCCTGCTGATCAAGGTGAATTTGCACGGACTATGCTGACAATGGTTCTTGGCATGTCTAATTCGTCAAAGTAACCATCAAGCACACCCGGTATCTTATTCATTTCCAATTGAAATTTCTGATTGAAATTCATGTACTAAACTACTGAATCTACGTTCCTCTTCTGCAAGAATTCTCTTAGTAGAGTGCTCCCAATTCTCTTCTTTTGGACGTTGCTAATTGCTGCAGTCTTTTTGCAATGGTGTGATCTCTCCTCCTCTTGCCCCTTCCCGCTTTCTCTCTCTCTCTTCTTTCCATCGATCCATCAGTTTCTTTTAGGCCTTTTCAACTACTGAAAGTGTTGTCACCACTTTCTCTTGATGTAATCATATTATGTTCTGCTGTGATTTGTGTTCGTTTGTGCATGTGTCGAGGTGGTCCTCCTATATGTTAGGGTGCAGAATTGTGTGTGCGTGTGGGGGGGGGGGGGGGGGGGCATTTTAACATACTGTGTCGACTGCCCTACAACTTTTTTTTGACTTTTTGCATGCTGTCGCCACATGTTCCAACTGTTCATGCTGGCTTGATGTCTCACTGTAGCTCCCCTGTGTACAGTGGTGCATAACGTTCCACACAGTCATGTGTGTTTTCTTGATGCTCAATGTACAGTGCTGCTCAATGAAATGTGGTCGCACCAGTGAAGTACACACCGTGCGCTGTGGGTTGTGACCACTCACTCCATCAGATTTTAGCAGTACTGTAGCGTGCATGCCTACTGCCAAACAGTCTCAGCTGTGCTGAGTGCATGGAGTCTACTCTGTACTCTATTGCAAGCACAATAAAGATCACCTGAACAAGGCAGGAACTTACCCCTGCCCTGACTGATTTGGGCCAGAGCCCAAGCTAAACTAGAAATAATATAAAAATATAGGCTTTGACGCTGAAAAGTTTTAAAAGGAAATAATTATAACAAGACAGGAAGAAAAACTCAAAATAGCGAAGGGCTGATTCATGAACATTCGAAACGGAAGAAATATGGCTCCACATATAATTGCAGTCAAGCAGAGATATTCTGTTATACGTAAGATGCAGGAAAAACTAACTAGTTACGATAGCACGTCAACTAACGAGCAAAAGAACGCCGCCTAGGCTAGTATTACCGACAACGCCTTGCCATTATGTAGATTTATGCTGCATGCCGTCAAAATACTGAAAAGATACACTGTATCGTAACGACATCATTGGACAATGATAAACATGATCAGCAGCAAAACGCATTCATAACAGCACTGCCAGCAGTATACCAGCACATGTCAGCTATGCACACGATCGTAAAGAGCATACAAGCCAGGGAGTCGTAAAATACCAGGTATTTTACGACTCCCTGATACAAGCCATTGGTCATCATCTTCCAAGGCCGTCACAGACACTTTTTCGGCCGTTTTTTTTTTTTTTGGAGCACATTACAACAAAGCGCGATGATCGGAGCTTAGCGCAAACGTGACAAATCCTTGTCCCCGATCGTGGTTTGTTGCAGAAAAAAGTCTTTCATTGCAGTTACACTGAAATGGCACCAAATGCCTGGAAATGCTCAATAATTGGCTTCAATTTTTGAATTTTTTTTCCCGGGGGAGGGTAATGTTTGTCCCCGATTGCAGAATCAAAAAGACTTTCATTGTAGTTACCGTACACTGAAATGGCACCAAATGCCCGGAAATGCTTGCAATCGGCTTCAAATCCTTGCGGACCACTGCTTGGTGGGGAATGTAGTGAACTTCACCCACCGCGCCGACTTCGTTTGCTGGCACCTATTCAATGACGCCAGTTCCCAGCTGCTCTGCCGTGACCGCGAACACGTGTGTTGCTGCTGAATCTGGTGCTGATGGCTTGGGACAACCGGACAAAACCCAACCAAGCTTTGTCCCTATGGCAACCAGGGTATCACTGCCGCGGATGATGTTGCCCTCTGTGAATTCCCAGTAGTGGTCTGCACCAATCAGGATGTCCACATTGGCCGCGCCAGTGCAATCGTCGGCCAGTTTCAATGTCGAAAACGTTGCGATCGACTCCGCTACCTCGGTCGGAAACTGCCGGCTGATCGGCGCGCTGATCAAAGGAACGGCTACTGCTGCCACTGACACTTGGTTCCCCTCCAGTGTTGCGATGCTCTGGCGCACGACGTCGACTTCCTTTGATGACCCGTGCTGTGTTCCAAAACCACGTATGGCCAGCTGCTCCGTGTGGTCCGTCGGCAGATCCAACTGTTGACGCAGGCTGTTCGTTACATATGACCGCTGGCCGCCCAAATCCAACAAGATGCGGGCTGTGAGCTGACGGTTCGGTTCTTCCTGTGAGGCCACCGCTGCCGTGGCCGTCTGTAGTAGCGGTGCCGATGCCTGTGACATGGCGGAGCACGTTCCGGAGAATGTCTGCTGCCCGTCTGCGCAGATGGTGGTGTGATGCCGTCTATCACATTTGCCACACCGCGTCTTGAACATACACTTGGCTGCTATGTGGCCTTTCCTCGTACACACAAAGCAGCGGCGCTGCTGGATCAACAAATCTTTCCGTTTGGCCACACTGGTTACTACGGAACATGACGCGGTAGCGTGGTCTCGCCCACAGTAGATGCACGCCATATTGTGCACTGTGGTGTTGAGTGATGCCGCTGTTGCCATGACGCCCCGGCTTGGTTCTCTGGTGCCACTTTGGACGCTGGACACATAGGAACAGCGTTCCCTGGTTCTTATTTCTTCACGCAACTGCCGCAGCACTTCTTGCAACGAGAAAGACGCATCGCCTACACCTTTGCACACATCCAGCCTTTGGCAGTTTCTGCAGAAGAATTGGGGCGAACATGTCTCCATAGTGCTCGGTCTTCCGACCCATATTCTCCAGTGACCGCACGTGGTTCACTACACTATCCAGCAATCTGCGGAGGCCCGACAGATCATGCTCATTGCTGATACCTGGCAGGTTCAGCAGGGCATCCATGTGCGCACTGATTATACGGTGCGGATCTCCGTACCGCTGCTCTAGACACTTGACTGCCGCTGCGTAATTCGCCTCTCAGGCTCAAACCACTGAAATGAGTGATCACTGCTGCTGCTGCTCCGTATACACTGCTACGTAAGTAGGTGAACTTGTCAGTGTCTGTCAAGCCGCTATTGGAGTGGATCAGCGACTTGAACACATCAAAGAAATGCTGCCACTCCATAGCGTTGCCACCAAACTTGCCGAGCTCTAGTTTCGGCAGCTTCACTCTGGCAGAGCTGCCACTGGCCGACACTGACGACAGCGTACTCAACTGTGAGTTGGACGCTGACGACACCACAGCACTCTCTTCCGTAAGGGCATCACGCTTCTCAGTACTAGTATTGTCAGCGTCCTCAGTGATCGGGTTGACTACTTTGCCCGAGTCTGCAGTACTCTCTGAACTCTCTCCCGGCGTGCTCAGTGCACTGGCGCGTCGGTCATCACGGGTACGTGCTTTGTCCTCTGCTGGGAAATCCAATATCCGGTCCAGTGTGCTGCAGAACGTCTGCAGCTTCAGTGTCCAGTCATCCGCCTCCATGACTTCCTCCTCAACGTCTCCATCACTGACGTCACACACTAAATCCAAGACCTCTGCGTCCATGATCCAGAGCGGCCATGCGCCAGCAGGCCTCTTGCACGCCAGCAAATAATTGCGTGCATGACGCACAGACGCACGGACATCGTCGGCCAACACACTCAGATATCGAGCTTCGTCAACAACGAGTGCTGAAACTCGCCATCTCGTGCACGATCCCCGATGGCCCCCACGCACCCTGCGCTTCTTGCGCAAAACAAGCTGATCCTGCGTCTTTGCCGACGCTTCTACTGCTGGTTGTTTTGTCCCAGAGCCAGTGGTCTCACTCGTCTCTCTGGACTCCTCCTTCTCCTCCATGACTGACCAAATTTCTCTATTTTAAAACACTACACTATTCGACTCTCGATCTCAAGCTCCACGATCCGGCTCGAAGGACCATGTGAAATTGTCGACCACAACTAAAAACTACGCGGTCTTCAGACCCCTGTTGTAGCGCGATTTCCTGGCCTTTTCGTGGAGAAGACTGTATTTACTTATTGGTTTCAACCATACTCTCAAATCAACCAGAAAACAACAACAACAACGATCGCCATTCCGCTAGGACCTGAAAGGTCTGACGTGGAATTCAGGTTACACTAGGAGGTGAAGGCGGAGAATGTGACAGTGTTCGCTGTGAATTATTTGAAAAGCGAAGATTTGACTGTCACATTCGTAGCCGGAGCCTCCGAAGTGTAATCGCTGTCATCAGCAAAACGTGTACATCAGCGTGCACGCGTGCGCGTGCATGCATGAATCATTGAATGATGAAGATCATGATATCAAAGACAAAACAGAATAATGATCACGCATGCATGATGCATTGATGAGTCATACCACAACGTAACCATGGATATAAATAATGGCGACGCGATGGCGGCAACTACAAAAATTGTGTAGTTCCGCGTCCAAAAGCAGGTGCAACAAGGAAAATTCAGAGTGCAGTGCAGAACAAACAGAAATTTAAATCGAAAGGAGATAAATATTGTGGAGATGAAGCAAATCAGTTTGGTCTGTCAGAGGGTGCTTGCGCCCAGAGACAGGGTGACAGCAAACCCTGTCAGAGAGAGAGTCAGTGTACAGAATAGGAATACATAGAACGCAGCACGCAGTGGAGTTGCTGTGGAGAGCGAGAATGCAAGCAATCACGTAAGCTATAATTATTACTAGTACTATCTATGCAACAAAATTATATCGGCGTACTAGTATCCGGCAAACACGCACAACAAACACTGTATCGTAACAACACACTCGTAATCATGGTAATGATGTTATCACAACGACACTCATTCTATTTTAGCGCAGTGTCCTGTCCAATCACACTCGTAAATCTCGCACACTCCCTCCTTGACAACTGACACTCATAAATCTCGCACACTTCATGACTATTTCTGAAGAAGAGAGAGAGAGAGAGAGTCTTATTTCTTTGCCTCTCGTCTGCATTTGCTGGAAACATGTTTGTTTCAGCTATTGTTTTAGCCTGCGTGATGGTTGTGGCATCCGCCAAGCCTGCACCTGAGCTGGGAGAGAAATGGGGCTATGTGGATGTTCGTCCTGGAGCTCACATGTTCTGGTGGTTGTATGGCTATGAAGGAACATTGTCCCCGCAAAAACCACTCGTCATGTGGCTTCAGGTCAGTTTGTGTTGAAAAATACATTTTTGTTTGTGCACGTGGAGGAGTTATTCGATTTGGTGATTTTGAATTATTTCAGCTCCACTTCCAGTCCAGTTTATTATAGTATTGTACATTCTAATAGATCGAGCAGAGATTTAGGAGAAGAAGTTTAATCACACAACCCAACAACGCTATTTGTTTCAATACTCAGTTAGCTGTGGTAAATTCCACTTTTCGATTCACTCTCTTTACTTCACTAGTGGATGCCTGAGAAAAAAACTAATTTGCACGTGTACATAAAGAGAGAAGAATGTACATACAGGCATGATAATGACACAGTGCTGCTAACCTTCCGTATTTGTACAGAAAACCACTCCTTGGTCCGCACTGCGGAATTCGAGCTAAATGGTACCGAAAATTGAAGAGGATCAATCCGCTATGTAGCAGCATGGCGAGCACAAGCTGAGCCGAATATTTTTTTTCCCAAAGCGAGTGTATGCCTCGCTACGACTACAGTCTACATGATATCATGTGATACAGCCTACAGGTCACACGTATTTTGCACTAGCAAATCCAGCCACTGGCAATGCCTGTACTGTGATTGTAAAAAAGAGAGTTGAAAAACACAATACCAGCAATGCACACGGCAGTACATATGGGCAGTACGCAAGAACACTGCGAAGTATGGAAAATCAGAAGTCGCAGTACGCAAACAGACCCAGTTGGTTGGCAGCTTTGATGACAGCATAGCACAAGGTGGAGGGCACACTGCAAGGTGTACATATACTGTAGGGTACCGCACGGCCACAGCACCCCATCACCGGTTCCCCTTTGCGGTCGTAATATTTGGAGGTGGGGCGTGTGACCGACCCCTGTCTGTAGAGCATGCAACATGTGTATTTTACATACAACACATGCATTGTGCAAACACAGTCGATCTGTACTTTCTTCCCCCTTTGAGGTGGCAGTGAGATGCACACGGGGCAGTGAGCTAGTAAAGGGCCAGGCATGATCCCAGTACACTCAAGGAGCTTGCATCGTTTCACCTACCAGTAAGTTGTTGCACTCGGCCATACGGCTTTCTTTTTTCCCTTGGTGTACGGCAAATCAAGTTGGGGCGCTCTCGCGGTACTCACCGATACTCGTGAATTTTATGCAGGGCTGAAACGAATGCTCCATGAAGCGAACAAATTAATATTCTTTTTCCGAATACATGCGAAACGAAGAATATTCCGAATACTCTAAACCATACAATTGCCATGGATACCTAGTTTTATCCATGGTAACCATAGACCATTACCTGGCATACACCACCATTACAAGAGAGACATTTGAAAAATCATTTGTCTTCCTGATTATAACACATCGAAAGAGGCAAGCCTACTTATATTTTGCACCAAATAAGCTTGACCGATGTCAAAAAGGCGAGTTTCTGTACATTTACGAATATTCCTATTCTACTTTAGCGAAGAATATTCTTTTTCCGCCTTGCATATTTCGAATATTCCTTTCAGCCCTAATTTTATGTCAGCAGTTTGATTAGAGCTAGCAGTAGGAATACGTGAGTAACCTTGGACTTGCGAGAATGAAGTTGAAGACGCCTCTGCAGCTGTACTCATGGTTGATTCATATGATAGTAAATACACACCTGGCAATATGACGGTAAATACACGCCTGTCCACGTACGCTCTCTAAGCTGCAAAGTTACTCTAGCACAGAGCTCTCCTTCTCACCACCACCACCATCAGTTCAAGCATGACGCCTAGTCTATGGTTTTAGACTACCGTAGAATCCCGCGGATAAGCCCACCCGCGTATAAGCACATGCTCTCGCATAAGCCCAGGGTAAGTTCGAACATCACTGAGCTTCATCGTACAAGCCCATGGGCCTAGGTCATACCAAGAGTCCATCAATTATGGACTCTTGGTCATACTGTTAGGTACCTCCGCCCGTACTACGTCATTCTCACCTTTCGTTCCGTTGGCCTGGGTAGCTACTTGCGCACCCATGTTTGCCATAGCTACCCAGGCCCTATATATTGCGTTGCCTCTCTTCAAATCTCTCTCTCAACTCTCTTCAATAATCACCATGTAGTCGTTTCGTTCGTCTTGGTCTCTTGTCCCGTTTCTAATAAATGTCGTTACCAACCTACTTGTTCCCGTTGTTAGTCTCTTGTTGGACTCAACAATACCATGTACATTGTACATGTAGTTTTTTTTCTTCGTTTTTCGTACATTCCAACACAATCATCGGTTGTTTTTGTTTGCACAGTGGTTTTCAGCAATGTACTTCTCACTTCCTTGATACTTTTCACTAGCACAATGTCGGCGTATACGCCCCGCGTATAGGCCCATTTTCTCGTATAAGCCCACCGAAATGTCCTTGTGAAACAGATAAGCCCATAGGCTTATCCGCGGGATTCTACGGTATTTAAATGGAGAACAGGGTTGCTGCATATGGTGCCAGCGACCCACTACAGTAAACCTGTATCTAAAGACCACCGTGACTAGCGAACAGCCTGGTACTACAGACCACTTCGCCAGGCGCGGACGGTCTCACATTCGTGTATGGTTGTGCGGTGCAAACCTCTAACTAAGGACCACCTGCCACTAAAGACCGCTTTCTCTGGCTCCAAGGGGTGGTCGTTAGTCACAGGTTTTTCTGTATTTACGTTCCAATCACCGGCACCATCGCGCTTGGTGTTCGTACAGGTGCAGCTTGCTATTCTGCATGCTCCAGCTCCTATTCGCTTTGTCATTGTCGACCAGTACTGCTGCTGGCTCAAAGTCACTACTGCAGTGACCATGGTCACTCTCACAGGCACTCGCACGGCAGGTGTTGTTCGATGCAGCCTCTGATTCTGATAACGCTTTACTTTTTTTCCCTTCTTTTCACTTGGCTGTGTACTTTGTACTGTGCAGGGTGGACCTGGTGGCTCTTCAACCGGCTTTGGCAACTTCCTGGAGATTGGTCCCCTCGACGTCGACTTGCAACCACGTACAACATCTTGGGTAAGTTCTATGTACAGTTCACCTTGCGAGTAATGACCTTGGATTGTGCATGAGAAAAGTGCCGTTATTCGCGTGTTGTCGTTAATCGTGATGTTGAAAGTATGCAGTCAACTGGTCACTAGGTCTGACGATTGTGCCGTTTTTCGCGAGTTGTTCATATACCCGGGGTCGTTTCCTGAGGTTGACTGCACATGCATTGGAACGCACTTTTCCCTAGTACACAAACTACCACAACTCACATTTGCGCTGCTATTCACTCTTTTAAGGCCATCATTTTTTATATCTATGTTTCGCGTCAGTTCAACTTCCAGAATCATATGCGAGCGGTGGGAAAAAATAAAAAGTTGCAGA